GGGCGCCTCGTCGGGGTCGTCGGCCTCCTCCTCCTCTTCCTCCTCGGACACGTCCTGCGGCGGCGGCAACCCGGCCCCGTCGTCCGTCTCGTCGTCGTCGTCCGTCTCGTCGTCGTCGTCGGTGCTGGGCTCGGGCCTGGTGGCGCCGGTGTCGCCCTACAAGGCGGGCCAGAGCGTCTTCCCGCTGCCGCCGGCGGGGATGAGCTACCCGGGGGCGCTGGCGGCCGGGGCCTACGCGAGCTACCCGCCGCAGTTCCTGCCGCACGGCGTGGCGCTGGACCCCAGCAAGCCGGGGAGCCTGGTGGGCGCGCAGCTGGCCGGGAGCCTGGCCTGCGGGAAGGCGGCCGGCTCGAGCCCGCTGGCCGGCGCCTCGCCCCCGTCGGTGATGACGGCCAGCCTGTGCCGCGACCCCTACTGCCTCAGCTACCACTGCGCCAGCCAGCTGGCCGGGGCGGCCGCCGCCAGCGCCTCCTGCGCCCACGAGCAGGCCCTCAAGGCCGGCTACCCGCTGGTCTACCCGACGGCCGCGCCGCTCCACGCCGTCCACTCCTCGCCGCCCGCCCTGGCCGGCCACCCGCTCTACCCCTACGGCTTCATGCTGCCCAACGACCCGCAGCCCCACATCTGCAACTGGGTCTCGGCCAACGGGCCCTGCGACAAGCGCTTCGCCACCTCCGACGAGCTGCTCAGCCACCTGCGGACGCACACGGCCTTCCCCGGCACGGACAAGCTCCTGGGCGCCGGCGGCGGCTACCCGGGCGCCGGCTCCTCGCTGGCCGCCGCCGCCGCCGCCATGGCCTGCCACATGCACATCCCCACCTCCGCCGCGCCCGGCAGCCCCGGCTCGCTGGCCCTCCGCAGCCCCCACCACGCCCTCGGCCTCGGCGGACGCTACCACCCCTACTCCAAGAGCCCCCTGCCCGCGCCCGGAGCCCCCCTGCCCGTCCCCGCCGCCGCCGCCACCGGACCCTACTACTCCCCCTACGCGCTCTACGGGCAGAGACTGACGACGGCCTCCGCCCTCGGATACCAGTGAGTCGCCCGACGGCCGCCCGACGGCCTCTCCCGCTTCGGCCCGGCCGGGGTTTCTTCGGGCCGCCTCCTTTTTGGGGGGTGGGATGGGGGGGTGGGGGGCCAGAACCCGAGCCAGAACTGTCTTTGAAGGAGAGAGACCGACAAACGAAGCAGAAAATCGAGTTCTCGACCCCCCCTTTTTTATATATCTATATATAAAGATAGTGTTCATCTTGAGGACCGGATCCATGGGCACTATATTTATTTATGTTAGCTTCAAGCCGGAGGATGAGTCCGTTTAAAAACAAAAAAAACAAAAACAAAAAGGAAGTGCATTACTTTAAAAAAACAAACAAAAACTTCAGCTCGCTAGGCTTAAAGGAAAAAAAACAACCCAGCCAACCAACCCTAAAGTGGAAACAACCGGTTGTAGACTACGAATAAATTTTAAAAAGACAAAGCGAAATGGAGGTCTTCTCTTTTAATGTTACTTTAAACATTGCTATGATTGTATTGTACTTTCTTATTTAATGTCTCTTTCTGGGGTGGGAAAGGAAATAGAAAGGAAGGAAAAGGAAGGAAGACTTCCACCCCTTTATGTGCAATTTGTCCCTTTTCAAATTGCATTTATTTTAAAGATCTATATCACACACACCCTGCCAAAAAAAAAAGCAACTAAAAATAAAATCGGTATTTTTGGTATGTTGTTCGGGAAGAAAGGCAAGCCCATCTAGGACCCGATTCCCAAACCTTCGTTTGCCTTATTTTATTTTATTTTTGTTCTTTAAACAGGAAGACCGCGGGACTATTTTTCAGATTCGTATGTCCGCCTTAGAAAAGGGGTAGAAGCAAGGGTGACGTCATGTATTTAAAACTAATAGACCATGTATCGCTCGAAAAGATTAAAATTCCGTATATTTGATGTATTTAAAAAAAAAAAAGGTTTTACTTTTCTTTGGGAATTACCTTCTGGATTCTCTTCCAAACACGCCTAAGTGGGGGAGGAGGGAAGCTGTAAAGCGTTTAGGTGAAGGAAAGACCATTTAAGAGTTGATTCGGTTTGATTAACAATAATAAAAATTTCAAAGCGTCCTTGTTATGGAAAGGGTTTATCAGAGAACAACCCCCCCCCCCTTTCCCGGGAACGGCAGAGTTTGGGACGAAAGTAAAGGCCGAGGGACCGGTCCAAGGGACTTCTCGAAATTGCCGCCGGCCCTCTGCCAAGGCTGGAAATAGATATTCCCCCTCCCTGTCTGGTACCCCCTCCTCAAATGCTCCCTCTAAGCTGTGGGGTCTTGTGAGCAGAAATTCTACTTTGTGAGCGACTGGCATGAAAGTTGTGAGCGAGCGGTTTGGCGACTGCGTAAAATCAGTCTGCTTTGGAGCCATCTTTTGTGAGCTCAGACAAAAATGTGTGAGCCGGAGGCTAAAAAAACTGTGAGCTAGCTCACACTGACTCGGCTTAGAGGGAACACTGGTGGTGGTGGACCGACCTGTGTGGGAGGAGGCGGAAGGGTTAGGCCGGGTTCTCCCCTACCAGCCGCGGCGAGAAGCTGACCTGGGGAAATCCAATGCTAGCGAACGGGGGACGTGGAACGCTTTTTGCGCGACAGCGGTTCGATTCCCTGGAAGTGGGTGGAGGAGAACTGGCCGCCTTCGGTTGATTTTCTTTTATTTTTCTTTTTCTATTTTTTTAAAAGGACCCGATCCTTTGCTTAAGAGACTGGGGGGATCTTGGATCAAAGACTCGTTTCCAGCGCTCTAGCCGCGCCCGCCTCCCCAACAAAGGGGAAGTTTTGTTCAATTTAACTTCTAAGCAAATGGTAAATCCGGATTAGTGGGCGAGTCCCGCGGCTCTCAAAGAGGGGAGTCCTAAAGAGCCGAGAGGCCTCCGCTCTCCCACCCCTGGCGGCCCCTAGCAAGACAGGACCGACGAGTGGGGGCCTCCGAGTCTCCGGACAGACCCCGCAGCAACCCGGAGCCCTGTCGGGGGTCCGGACGGGGGTCGACTCGGAATGGCGGAGAGGAGGCCTCGCTCGGCAAGGGGCCCGCTGGCTTTCGGAATCGAAAGGAGGGCGGCTGCGACCCGCTCCCCCGCGCCAGTCCGGGAGTCAGTCCCGTGGAGCTCAGCGGGGCTTACTTCTGCGTAAACGTCCACTGGATCCGGCCGGGAGGATCCGCCTGGTGCCGACTTGCTCAGAAGTAGGCGCCGCTGCATCCGACCCGGCTCCCTCGCTGTCCGAAGGCTTCCCGGAGCGCCTGGACTCGGTAGGGAACGCCCGTCGAACACCGGGGGGTTTCCTGGGGAGGGGGCTTTAGTGACTAAGGGGAGGGGAGACTGGGTTCAACCCTGAAGTCTACCGGAACTTACTCCATATATTATGTAAAGACTCTGCCTGGGCATCTACAGAGTGCCCTTCCCACACCGCTGACAACTGCAAGTCCCCAGATTGTGTGTGTGTGTGTGTGTGTGTGTTGGGGAGGGGGGCGGGAGAGGCGCCTTTGGGGAGTCTGAAGAACGGAGTGGAGCGGGCCTTCTGTCCTGTCCCGGCACTTTCTGTAAAGGGGGGGTGGGAGCTGACTAGAGTCCACGTTCTTGCTCCCTCCCCCCCTTGCTGCCGGGAGTGGGCGAAAAATCCTTCTTCCCCCCCGCCCCACAGTCCTTTCCCGAAGGGGGTCTCTAGCCGGGCCGGGGGACGCCGTCGGGGTCGCTGCCCCGAGCCCGGAGTCACCGGCGAGGCTGGGAGCAGGAGCGGAGAGG